TTCACAAACATAGAAGTTTATGGTGATATTATGCAATTTTTAGTACTAGTTAATGTTTTCCCTACTAATTAGCGTGTTAAAGTTTTTTGCCTATCTTTCTCTTTTTTTTTTTTCTCCTTGAAAAATAACTAAGAGTTTACAAAGAGAACCTTTAGGACACTCCTGATTCAATTGATCGAAGTGCAGAGCTGAATAAGCAGCATATTGAAGGAGTACAACTATAATCTAAAAAAAAGAAAAAATTATTCCATTTTCTTAATTCAAATAATAAACTTTAGATTATAGTTGTTCTCCTCCAATATTGGACAATGACCTTCAGGAATGTTGTAGCATATGAACATTAAGTCCTCGCATAATGTTGTAGGCTTCTAAAGGTCATTTTCGTATAATCATTTTTGGGCCAGGATTATGGGCCTAGGTTCATCATCAAGTCCTCACATAATGTTGTAGGCTTTGTAGCTAACACTCATATGCTGGCCAATGTTTATTTATATATTTTTTTCTTTCAAAGAAAATAAATATTATGGACTATAGAGGATAAATTGAAACTCTAAAATCTTTTTACTGTTAGAACTTTGGTGTGTATAAATGTTAGCAAGATTTTTCAGTTTTTAAAAACCAGATTTCTCAATTCTTTTCAGAAAAATTATAAAAGGATACATATTCCGCCTTTTTTTTCTTTCCATTCTCTCCTTCTCAATCTCCCTTCAAATATTTCTAGATTCTAACCTAGTTTTAGGGCTAGTTTGGTTGTGCTTTTGGAAGAGCCAAAAACGCTTCTTAATGAGTAAAAGCACTTCAATTTTTTAAAAATAAATAGTTGTTGTCAAATATTTTAAAAGTGCTTTTAGTTAGAAGTAGAAACACTAACAAACATTTTCTAAGAAGCACCTTCGAGCTGGTTCCTCCTAAAAGTGCTATACAGAGAAAACAAGGAAAGCACTTTGCTCATTTAATGATTTTTTTTCAATTCCAAAATTATCCCTATTTTTTAATTTGCAAAGTCTAAAATATCATTACACATTAAAAAATCATCAAAAATGTCATCACCAATTTTTTCTAGTGCTTCTATACAATATAAAAGCACTTAGTTGGTTGTGTGCCAAATAACAAACTGCTTTCTCATAAAAATGCTATTAAAAAGTACTACAAACAAAAAACTCTAATGAGTAAAATCACTTTATTAAGTATCACATCAAAACAAACCCTTCTTTCATAATATAAAAAACTAAAAAAGAAGTAATACGATTGAAGTTGTTGAGTCAACTATGACACATGGACACATGGACACATGGACACATGAAAGGATAAATGAACTGGCAATCTTGTACTTTGATAAGGATATATTATTGTGAGGGCTTGATTTTGAAAATGTGTGCATGATGATTTTGACTCTAAAAATGCTAGAATAATAAATTTTCAATGAATGTATTCTTATATATTTATTTTAGTCAAACTATTATGTTTTAAGCCCAAAAAATGAATATAAAGAAAATATTTGAACATTTTATTATCCTTGTGAAATAATGTGTCGGAAGGGGCCCTATTTTAGTTTCTCGCTCTAGACCACCAAAAATTTAGTAAAGGTTATGATTATAGTGGGCAAATACCAAAATGTTGATAATATCATATTGATGATCGTTATTATTGTTTGCTTTAAGTGTGCATATTTAAGTCCAACACTAAACGAAATTTTTACCGTGATTTTTTCAATTTTATTGTCTTTGCTCACCATAGAAAGAATGTAAGAAAATCAAGCGTGGGAGGCAGAGTTCGAACCTCTTGCCTTCTTTTCATGTTAAGCGACTCTTCTTCTTTCATAACCCAGTTAATCGGTGAAGCAGATTCCACGCATGCAACCTTGGATGAGGATCATGGGGGTCACTCAAGCAAGCTGACCCATATTAGACCTATCTACACCAAAAGTTGCAAACACAAATTCATATGGCTAACATACATGTTAATAATTGTTTGTAATCCAATATTCTAGTAGATTGGTTGTTAGGTTTCTACCCATGCGTCCCGGGTTCGAAACTCCCTCATCCCCTGAATTATTGTAACAGTTTCAAACTCTTCATTTTGCTTTTCTCCTAATAATAGTATAAAATAAAAAAATAAAATAAAAAAATTTACATGCAATACTACTTTTTAACTCAAAGTCATATATACTTTGCATATAACTTTAAAATCATATGATCTTAAATTTTTTTCGTGCATTAGAGAAGATTGAGTCAAATATAAAGTTCAATATAACTTTAATTTATTAAATTTCCTACTCACTAGGGATAGAGTAATTCTGTTGGTCAGCATGCATTATATTCACTTTAAATAATCAAACCCACTTTGCAATCAAGTCCTTCAAATTTCTTTGATCAAAATAATAGATAATTACCTAAATACACATATTCTAAAGTTTGATTACATATTTCATTTATTTCTCACAATGCCCTTCATTTTTATTAAACTTTCACCGATATTGATAATTTTTCGATGTATTCGTTGAAAATTCTGTGTTTGAATTTCTAAAATTTTGGGCACAACTAATATTTAAGATTTCAGTTGTGAGTGAATTGACTCGTTGTAAAAGTATATTTGTTTAAGGCAATAGAGGGAGCAGGGAGCAGAGAGCAGAATAAAAGGCAGAAGGGAGAGAGGACAGAAAAAACATACGGCGGAGAGCAAGGGGGGAGGGGGGGGGTCATCCCAGCAACCCCATCCCATCCGAATTCCATTTCCATGAATTCTTTGTTTTAAGTTTCAATATTTATTTTAGATTGTTTTTCAATTATGATGTGTAATTATGCTTTTAGTAGTTAGGGGTTGTTTTGAAGCTCCAAATATGATTGCAAGTTTGTTATGACATTTCGTTAAATTGCTTTTATGAATGGATGAAAATTGGTTCACTACTTATATCAATGATGAATTCTTTACTTGTTTTCTATGGATGCATACTTAGTAAGCATATCTAGGATTCTAATAATATGAATATGTATGTGTCTGCCCTTATCGAATAGGGACCTACACATGTTCTAGAGTAGTACTTGTTAATTGCAATTAACATGTGAACCAATTTCTAGGATAAGTAAGACAATGCCAGTACTTACAACGCCTTGTGATGACTCAAACTCCTTTTGTTTAATGATTTCTACTACTTTTAAATCTATGAACACGCCATTCTAGATTGCATGTTAGAGACTATATTAAGTTGAAAACGTCATTCTCTTAACATACTACATAAGAAAGAGTAATAGGTTGAGTTCTAACATTGAGCCAACTTGAGCATCTTCATCCGGAAATAAAAGGAATTTGAATGAAACATAACATGTTTGAATGATTATTTGGTGGTGGATAGCAATCCCCCTAACTCGTTTTTCTTAATTTGTGAATTACTTAAAATTTGTTTATGTCCTGTTTTTGTTCAATTTAATTTAAATAGCAAATCAACTTCGAAAATCCCAAAAATTTGTGCAAGTGTACTTTTGTGTGTCTTGTGTCTGCATATAAAATTTTTTAGACTTTAGATAAGTGTAAGTAGATCTAATAATAATATTTCGGTGGCTGGTCAGTAGGGACAACAACCTAGTTTTTCTGACATTTTAAATAGTTACTTAAAATAATCTTATGCAGAAAAGACTCTTATTTTCATATGCTACAATTGGCAAATCTTAATGTTGATAAGGAAAATCAATATGATATTTGTATGCTACTTTGTGGTATGCTTTAAATCATACCAAGAATAAAGACAAAACTTTGATTAATTAATTCAATACATGCAATTGGCCGACATGGGAGACGGCAAGAAGAAGGAAAGAAGCCAACGTTCTTGTTTTAATATTAATTCATTGCAAGTAGTCGGTGGAGTTCTATGCCGAAGTTCAAGTCAAATTAAAGCGCAATCTCTGTCCGTACTCCAACAGGGACAGCCTCATAGTCATAAACATCTGCAGGTGCGCAGACTAAATGCTAGTGGACGGATTTGGTGGACCTTCCGAAAGCAGGTGTCAAACTGGCATCATTAATTAGGAAAAGTTTTAGTCTATGGTCACAAATATAGAAGATTGTAGTGATATTATGCAATTTCCCTTACTAATTGGCATGTTAAATTTTCCGTCTATCTTTCTCTTTTCTCTTTTTTTTATTTTTTTTGGCTGAAAAAAAGAACTAAAAATTTACAAGGAGAAGCCATTGGGACATCCCTGATTCAATTGATTGAAGTGCTTACGATGATCAAGGTTGGCTATGGTGTGAGCAGAGAAATTTGCTTCTTGGAAGTTATGGAAAAATCTAATATTATAGAGAAGTTAAACGCATATGTGCTCAGTCAAGTGGAGTATATCAATTTGCTATCCGTTCTACACCAAATTTTTTGTCTTCAATTGTTTTGACGAATTTATTATAAAATATAACGTTTGACGAAAAAAAACAATATCTTCAAAATTAAAAAGATAAAAACAATATCTTCAAAATTATATGAATCTGTCGGATTTAACCAGAAAACAGACCAGCATCTCCCTGGACTTTTTCATTAAACATACTTATCTTTTGCCATATTAATTCTCTGACAAAAAAAAAAAAGAAAAAGAAGCATTTAATTAATTCAAAAACGCGTGCTTCATGATTTTGACTCGAAAAATGCTAGAAGAAGAAATTGTCAATGAATGTTTACATATATTTTGGTTAAACATATATATTTTAAGCACATAAAAGAAAAATATAACAAAAGATTGTAACTTTTATTTGAGAGTAATGATACAATTCTCACATATTTGTATCATTATTTGTACTATTTTTCTAATAGACGTACGGTCTATCAACCCATATAAGTTATATCTCTATTATAAAAATGATACAACTGATCGAAAAATAAGTAATAAGAGTCGTATTTTTATTTTTCTTATGAAAATTGTACATCCACTACCGCCGTTATAGAGGTTTTGAACCCTTTGACTAGAAATCGTCAAATTCAAGAATGATACCATTCCTTTGGAATCAATAAGGAGAGAGAGAGAGAGGATCCCCAACGCCAATTAAATCTAATATATTACTTACGTGTGTCAATTGCTTACTCCGATGTGACTCTACCAACGTCACGACGCCGGGCTCTTGTTCATTGCAGTGGTGAGCCCCAATTCATCGCAGCGCCCAAATCCACGAAAATCTGCCAGGATTGTTTGATCGTCGGAGGATTGTCTGATCTCTAGGCTCCGAAGGTACAGAATCCGGAGAGGATCTTAGTCCGTGAGCATGAAGCTCTTAGTCCTGTCAGTCATGTTAAACTTAAGCATTCTAGTTTCTGCGGATCTGGGAACTGCAACTTCATACGGCCCTCCTTATATACGTGAGCAAACAATACATACCTCAACGCAATAAAGATAAATATATCCAGTATGTTTGGGCTTTCTTATGCCATTATGTTGTAATTTTGCAGCCACAAGGTGCTTTGGAAGGAGGCCAGACCAGTTCCCTCCGCGTTACCTTTTTGCGGCAGTGAGTCCTGGCCTGTGGGACGGTGGTTCTGCGTGCGGAAGGGTCTATAAAATCAAGTGTCTGAGTGGACCTCAGATGCCCTGCAAGTTTGGTGAGACTGTCGAGGTCAAGGTGGTGGACCTTTGCCGGAAATCTCCTTGCCCTTCTGCCATGGCCATGTCAACAAATGCTTTTGCAGCCATATCACACCCTACTTCTGCACCAATCAACATCGAATATGTCGAGTAAACATCAATCTAAATTTTGCACTCTCTTGTACCTGTACTCTTACAGTTCATTATATACTAATATACATGCCGATGGTTTGATTTACAGGACGTGAGACTGTACAGCATCATCGAAGATGTCTTCACATACACCAAAGGTGGACGCGTGGAAATGTTTTGTAATATGAATTGTAAAAGTTCCAGCAGATAGGACTGAATGACACAGTTGGAGGCACAACCGTCATAAGCCTCCTCTGCTCGATTGTACTTGTCAATAAAGTCCTTTCTTGGCAAAATTAATGAGATGTTTTGTCTGTGTTTATGAAATCTTCATGTTCGATGTGTTTTGTTGCTGCACCATCATTATGCTCTACTTTTTTCAAGGAACTATATCCAAAAGCGAACGCTTCTAAATCCTAAAACTTAGCTCTCATACTTTCAACCACATCATAAAATAGTGAACTGTAATTTCAATCTGTATTGCTGCCTTGTTGGTACTGAAATTGACATATTTTTAATGTGAGATTTATATACATCTTAAATCTTATGTACAACTAATCTCATGTACATCAGAAGAATAAAGAAAGAGTGACGAATAACTTCAACGGATCATCTGAATACTGCTCACCAGTCTACTCTGCTCTTCTTCTTCTTCTAGTTTTGTAGCACGATCAAAACCTGGCGAATTGCATTTGCTTTCTCTAAGATAGCAGCAACCCTCAAGTTGGTTGCAGGACCATGAATGCTGGGTCTTGTCAATGTTAAAGATTTTGCCACCGTTGCAGGCTTCAATTTGAAGGACTAAGACAACAAAAATTGGTTGTCTTTAACTTCGAAAATACAGAGCCCAAAATGGGGAAAAGTTGAGTGGTGCAAAAGCAAGAACAACAAAAATAGACGGCTCTAACCTTAGTTCTTATCTTTAGCAGCAACGAATCTCTTTCATCTACCTTAGGTTCGACCTGAGGCCGAACTTGTTCAGTGACTTTTCTCAACTGTAAAATGTCAAAATGTCAGAAAGGTATTTTGTAGAGCATAAATTTCAGGAAGAGCATGCGCTGAAAGACAGAGTGATCTTAGTAACTGGAACTCCATTACACCTTCCAACTTCACAGTCTGACATTACAGCAGAATTATGGGATGACCATGCTGTTTCTCCCCCTGATATTGGCATACTATGCTGAGGGTGCTCAACCATTGGTGGTGCTGTCACAGACGTGGAAAGAGGTTCTCCCCGTTCTGATTCTGATTTTTTCAGTGAATGCTGAAGTACATTGAGCTCGATACCTGTCTCTGGCGTTACCTGCTGCACAGGCTGGATAATAGATCCATGAGAAGATTCAGGGTCATTTGTAGAAGTTGTACATTCAGAGCTTGGTCTAGTGAATAGATTGGAACCAGTCTGAACTTTTTCTCCCTCTGAAGCAAAGTGATTGCTTCCTGGCCTATCATGAGATACCTCTGGTAACGATAAAAATGAGCTTGAGAATTGTGCCCCCCCCCTTAAATCAGGAAAATTGTATTGATGATTAGCATCATTAACCATGGCTGGTAAACGCAATGAATACGGGGCAGGATCCACCACATTGCCCATTACAGGTCCAGAAACATGTTGGAACTTCTCGCCTTCTTCAGACATGAGAGGCAAAAATGGGTTCTGGGGTGGCAGCACCTTGCTCTGTGGCATTGGCATATCAAATTGAGCTTTCTCAACAGATTCCGATGGCTGTATTGGCAGCAAAGAATCCTAACCAACTCCAACCAATTCTCTCTGAAAAAAGGGGATCATGTTGTATTCCCATCCTCCATTTCATTGGTCGTAAAGGTGGCCATGGTGACATGTCTTCCAGATTGACTACAGTAGCTTCAATGGGCAGGACTGATATAGGAAGGGTAGAATCTAATGGTTCCAATGTTTACTACATAACATCAAGTTTCTGGCCTAATGGTTCTGGTAAGAACTTTGATGTTAAAGCATGGCTTGGAAGATATTCAGGATGACATTCCGGGGAAGCATCCAAGCATTCTTCCTGATTGATTTGATCCATAAATGGTAACTGGTTGGATTTCTCCGAATCCATGTGGTTTTGAGACCCTGCCTGTACAGATAGAAGACTTGATAAAATGATGCCTTATCTTCTTCCGAATTTTCCACATCAAGCTCATCAGATTGAACCACCAGAGAACACTTTAAGTCAGCTTCTGGCTGATGCGTGATCCCTTGCTCCATCTCTTGGCAACTATTTGATACCAACTCCATTTGCTTGCAACTCCAATGAATTCTCCAAACTAGTTTCAGGCTTCGGCAGGTAGCAGGTAGCAGGTAGGTGAAGACACAACTTCCGTATTTTCTAAAGATGCTGAGGCCATGGTCACATCACCAACAGCTAAACTGCTTTCAGTTTGTTCATCCAGAGAGAAATTATGACCATCATCAAATACTTTTGATCTGGAATGGTCACAAGTAGTTGATTTGCTTGGGTTTGATTCTGCAGGAACATCACGAACAGCCAAACTGTTATCAGTCTATTTATCCAGAGAGGAATTATGACCATCGTCAGATTCGGGAGTCTGTGGCAGATTCTGGAGAAACTTCATCCAGTTCAGATTCATTGTCATGGAAATCTCCAAATCCAGGAAAAGATGCATGCAAATTTATAAAGTTCCTTGGTGAAGAAGAAATTGCATTTTGAGATGAAAAACTAACATCATTGAATTAAATGTATGAAGTGTAACAAACAACTAATTAATATTTGTGGTGTGGTTTGGTTTCGGTGTGGTTTTCAAAAGCCAAAACCGAAACCAAACGGTTTTTCTACACTGCGGTTGGGTTTCAAACCAAAATCGTTTCAAAACCACAAAACTAAGTCGTTCGGTGCGATTCGATTTGGTTCGTATTTCGATTTCGGTTTTTGGTTCCAAGTACCCACCCCTAATTACAACACACAAACCATCAAGGACACTCTTTAAAAACTATATCACCCACTCACTTTCTAGAGACAAACTCTAGACCACTCACACTTCTACAAAACTACTCTTACTTCTCACTCTCTTACCTAGCTCTCTCTTAATTCTTACTTCATTGTATTACACCACTACATATTTATAGTAAGGCATGGTTTGGTACCGAGGTGATTATGAAAAAAACTGGTATAAAAAAAAGCTAGGAGCTGTTTTTGTGTTTGGTAAACATTTAGCTTCAGTTTTTTTTCACAGTTTTGGGTGAAAAAATGCCAAAAACAAGAAGCTGCAAAACCTAGCTTTGAAAAACTGGCTTTTTTTCACATCTGTTTTACATAAAAATTTACTAAACACTAGAATATTGTTTTTTTTTCAAAAGCACTTTTACAAAAAAGTTTACCAAACACTTTGCTGCTTTATTTCACAGCTGCTTATTCTCATAGCACAACAAAAGTAATTTTTTTTTCAAAGTACAGCAATACCAAACCAGCCCTGAGATTTGCCGACTTTGGCATTGTGAGAACTTTCTAGCTACCGATCAAGCATTGCCACCGAAATATGGCTTTGCAAATTGGTGTCATATTTTCCTATTTATAGTCTTTGTAGAAACTACTTTAGCTTTATATATTTCTGCATGCACCGCCATTTCTTGCATATTTAAACTAGAAAAATCTAGTTCCATTGCACCTGGACAACGTGCAAGTCTTCCAGAAGCTTTGTCTTCTAGACCTGCTGCTGGTGGAATACAAATATCAATTGGGCTGATGTTAATCTTCAACACTTCTCAATCTCCCTTTAAATATTTATAGGTTCCTAACCTAATTTTAATGCTTTCATAATATAAGAAACTAAAAAAGATGGAATACGATTGAAGTTGACAAGTCGACTATGACACATAAAAAGTTAAATGAATTGACAATTTTGTGCTTTGTATACTGTAAAGGTGATTTTGAAAAATGCGTGACAATGATACGGATGATTTAAGAAATATTTTCTAACATGCCTGGGTGTATTGTATTCTATAAACAACAAATTTTCACCTTAGTATCCTCAGTGGACTTGTCAACGAGTTAAAAATTGGCGGTTGAGATTGGTAAATATAATATTGCACTCTCTCTCTCGATTTCTGTCTAGCTAGAAAGGATTAGAATATTTTTCAGATTCAACCATGTAGAGCCTGCAGGTCACGCAATCTTTGACCGTTCATACATATTAGGGCAATTATGAGTTTTGTAATTTTTTCCCAAACTGACCTATCAGCACCGTGCCTTTCCACTGTTCAAGATGGCTGCAAATCGTAAAATAATTTTCCATCATTCACTAATTTTCAACAGAAAAAATTGAAAGTGTTCCTATTTGTTTCCAACTTTTAGGATAGTAAGAAGAACAAGAATGGTGCGTATCTCATTAAAATGGTTGAACCCATCTCTTAGTAATTATAATTAGTACAATTCAATATCAATTCAAGTGTAGAACTAGAGAACTAACGAAATGGAGATATCAGAAGCGAGAATACTGACATGAGTAACGAGAAATCATTTGAACTTGAAAGTCTTGTCGTTGAATTATGTAAATCATTTTAACCAGAGTATAAGATTTTGTTGGTGCAATTTTTCCTAATATTTATTCGCAACTCACACGCAAGGTTGGGTAAGATGGTGGGTCAGGATAAGGACATGTTCATCAATCATCATTCAGATTCGTGAAAAGCAAAAGATACACTGAGTTCCAAAAGCTTTTAAATGGACTGACGCTTACGGGCAATTTTATCTCCGATTACGGCCAAGGTATGATCTCTAACCATCATATTTGGATTGCTCTCGTTGAATAGATGAATTTTCATATATGAATTGTTGGATCGTTAAATTTAGTTGAGAAATTAAAAAAACCAAGAGGTACATATCAACTTGACTATAATTTCTAATTATCAAAAGCAACTACGACTTGAGGCACTTCTCCTCCCTTTTCAAGAGTGGGCATACATATTAACTTGCAACTTGCATTGGGATAGAAATAAATAGGAAGATAATTGCTATCTATACCTACCATCACGATTTGATGGAAACTAATTAACTAGTAAACAAATTACTCTAAATTAATCAACAATAGAATTGTCTTCACCTATTCAGATAATTATCTCAAATTAGGGTCCCCGATGTATAAGATATTTCCTTTATTTGGGAACTTTAATGAAAAGAAAAAAACCTTTTTATTAACTAAAAAAGAAACACCTAATTATTTTATTTAATAAAAAAACTTAAATTTGAACGAAAAGAGATTAAGCTTGGAACCTGAGCTTCCTGAGTAAGGGATCTGAACTATTGAAATTTGATCCAACTGCTACAAATAGGAGGTTTATCTAAAAATTATAATAATTGTAACCGTTAAATCAAATTTCAACTATCCAGATTTCTAGCTCAGGAGGCGTATACTAATCTCAGGAGGGAGGGGATCCGGTTCCCTTAAACTTTGATGGAAAGAATAAAAATTAACACAATAATAAAAACCGAGTTCTAAAGGAGACCTGTTCACATACCTGCCACTCTCTTGCGTTTTGAACTAAAGGACACCTGTTCACGTACCTGCCACCTCAAGCTGAAAAATGAGATCTTAGATAGTGGGAATGCCACCACGTGAACAACCACAAACCACCATCACTTTAATGGCAAAAATTTTACACCAAAACCACCATCAACCTTCCGGGAAATTTTATCTCCGATTACGGCCAAGGTAAGGTCTCTAACCATCATATTTGGATGCCTGTCGTTGAATAGATGAATTTTCATATATGGATCGTTGAATTTAGTTGAGAAATGAGTGAGTTATGAGCATTTGAAATTCACCCAGAAACCGGCCAAAAATTCCAGAAACCGATGAGTTTTCCGGCGGGTAATAATATTATTTTTATCGTAAGTTTATATTTTAAGTTTTCATAATATTCTATAATTCTTTTCTTTCTCTTCATCCTCATTTCATTCGACTGATATTGTCAAAGCTATTAAATTTAGCCCTGAAGAGAGATGGAGAATATTTCATTGTCCGAGCCATTAAATATATTATTTTGACTCATGTCAGGCTTGTGAAACGCCACCACCTTAGCAATCAGCTTTCCAGGTGCCCCCCGCCTCTTTTTTCTTTCATAGATCCCAAAACCCTCAAAATCAAAGGACCCATTGAAACGATGGCCGCTCCTTTGACAACATCTTGGGCGGGCTCCGTGAACATGGTGGGACTCTTATTCATGTTGATCGTTTTAGGCTTTTTTTGCACAGAATCAAGGCTAGTTTCTGGCGATCTCGGCACAGCAAATTCTTACGGTCCTCCTTATATGCGTAAGTAAACAACTTATTCATCTCAACGCAATGATTACTGTGTTGTTGTGATTGCCTTGATCACAATTAGTGGGTTTAAATGGTTTTAAGTGAGTAATTCATGTCTAGTTAGTTGCAGGTTGAATAGGGCATTGAGAATTAATTGGATCATATCGATGACAATTAGCTTTTCTTATGCCATTATTGTAATTGTTGAGCAGCAACAAGATGCTTTGGGAGTAGGCCAGACCAGTTCCCTCCGATGTACCTTTTTGTGGCGGTGAGTGAAGGGTTGTGGGACGGTGGTTCTGCGTGTGGAAGGCTCTATAAAATTAGGTGCCTGAGTGGACCTAATATGCCCTGCAAGGATGGTGCTACTGTGGAGGTGAAGGTGGTGGATCTTTGCCGTCAATCTCCTTGCCCTTCTACTATAGCCATGTCAACCTATGCTTTTGCAGCCATCTCAAACTCATCTTCTACACGAATCAACATCGAATATGTCCAGTAAGTATCTATACTTCTAATGTTGGTTTCCTTATATCTATATACGTGTAAATATATGTGTATATATATATACACACACTAATATACATGTCGATGGTTTGATAAGTGCAGGATATGAAATCAGCTGAACCCGATCTATGCTGATCACATACAGCTGAGGATATTTCGCAAAGAACTCTCTCCAGCGGCCAACGCTTCTAAATCTTAAAACTTAGCTCTCAGCCTTCAACTGTATTATTTAATAATGGTCGATAATACTTTCAACTGTATTATCTCATACTTCAACTGTATTAAATAGGATGTTTTTTCGTATGTTTAATCTTTATTGTTGCCTTGTTGGTACTGAAATCTATTAAAATTGAAGTGGTTTTTCTAGAATGACTTCCCACATACCCAACAGCTTATATTAATTCCTTGTTTGTGGCTGTCTTGGAAACCCACATGTTTTCATGGTGAGATGGCACTCCTTTATGCTTCGGTTTTCCTTCCACACAATAGTTTTCAATTGCATTGATAACTAGCTGTTGCTTATCCTTTTGAGTTAGTTTTTTCATCTTTTCTTTTGGCTGTACTGTTCATGCTCTAGGTTAGAGTGTTGTAACTTATAAGCTTATTTCATTGAGTTCCATTCTTTCTCTTCACTGTTGGTTGTAAGTTTGGTGTCTACACATGTCTTTAAGCCTCAAATTTATAGCTTTTGTACAATTAATTTGAAAACAGAACGGTCCTGGGTTTGTGAATTTCGAGTCTTGATTTGTCATACAATAGCTTGTTGATTACTTATGCTGATACTAGTTCCTCTTATTCTTCCTTCCCTCAACTTACGACATGGAAATTGTCTTCTGGAAAGTTGAGAACATTTCCTGATTTCTTGAGAAATCAATCAAAATTAAGCACTTTGGACCTTTCAGCAAACCTGATTCATGGTGAAATAACCAACTGGATTTGGAAGTTGAGTAGTCTTAGTCAACTAAATCCTTCTTGTAAGTCTCCTGGTAAATCTACTAGGTCCTGTGGTGCTGGCATATCAAATTGAGCTTTCTCAACTGATTCCGATGGCTGTATTGGCAGCAAAGAATCCAGACCAACTCCAACCAATTCTCTCTGTGAAAAAAGGGAAGCATGTTGTATTTCCATCCTCCATTGCATTGGTGGTAAAGGTGGCAAGGGTGGCATGTCTTCCATATTGACCACAGTAGCTTCAGGGGCCAGGACTGATCTAGGAAGGGTAGAATCTAATGGTTCCAGTGTTTGCTTCATAACATCAAGCTCCTGGCCTAATAGTTCGGAGTCAAAAATTAATCACATACTAACTTACCATTTTATTCCATAAATCACGTATGTATAAGCAATATGGTATCAAACTCTGACATTTTTAAGCTTTAGTTAACCTTAACAACCATTAATCTTCTTTTCTTGGTAAACACCCTAAAACTTGAAAACTACGAAAGCATTAAGACGATAAGGGGATCAAATTTCATAATCAATCAGCTCTGAAACTCATTTCAGTGCATTCAACAAGTAGTCAACTTCTAATCCATGAATCTATGTTTACTTGGATGAATCAAAATTTGTCATGTAAAATTGAGTTTTGATGATTTCATTCTTAGTTTAAGGTTCGGGTGAACATGTAAGCCTTAATTAGAGCTTAACCTTCAATTCTTACTGTAGCACATGCAAATTTCTTTACTTGATCTTAAAACATAAACATTAATGAAATGCAGAACACAGAATCGATAGCATCATCCAATATGGCGAGATTAACTACATCAGTGTTAAAACAACGGAAGGAATTGGGGATTACAATTACAATACTACAAAATCCAATTTCAGAGAAACCCCCAATTCCAATCCCAATTTGAATCTAGAAATTCAAACCCTAATTTTATAAAATGCAAACAAATTCAAGAGACTGAGAGAAAGACGTAGTCACGATCGTTGTGGTGGAGGTGAGACCGTGGGAGTCGGTTCGTTTCTCGGTATTTTTGCCCAGGCCTAGTTGGAACTTGTTAGATTTGCTACGCGTACGGTTCCTGCCCGTGGGTCTTGCGACGGAGTCGCTGTTGGACCTTAAACCGTTAAAACGAACCACTGTTTGGGCCATATAAAATGCCCAATGGGAAGTTGGAAAAATCGGTAAAAGCAAATTTGCATACAAAAAAGAAGAAAAACATTTCGGTTAGGAAAAAATATCTTTAATATTAGGAATCAATCATGTTTTTTATTTGCTTCTTATATGATTGAAGCTACAAATTAAATTTATTCACCCGAAAAAAATTAGAGGAAATGAACTTCACTTTTGTTTGACATTAGAAAGCAAAATGGTATGTTTGGTAATCTAATTTCTACATATCACATTTTTTTTTATTTTTGGTGAGAGTGACAAATGACTCCGTAACAAACTACAAATAAATAAAAAAACTTGAAAACAACAACTATAAAAAGATACACTAACCAGTTTCCACTTGACATGTGCTTTGTGCATTCTTATTAGCTTTCTCATGTCTAATGTTGTTACTAAATATTATTTGGAATTTTTTTTTGAATTGTCATATGACCTTATACTCCTTTTTTTAATTTGTTACTAGCATGTGGGCACACACAAAGTGTGTGTGAATTATTTATTTATTTTTGTTTTTGAAATAGAAGGAGAGTGGAAGAGAGTGATAGAGAATGTGAGAGTGAGATGTTTTTTTTTTAATATTTATTTTATTTATTTTTTTAATTAGAGATACGTTAAGATTACATGTGGGTGAGACTTTGAAAAAAAAAACAGCAAAATTTGGTTGTGTGAAATTACATTTCTGCCCATATTTATTATTCATGTTCTGTTTTAATTAGAGGGTTAAACTTGTAATTTTATAGGTTTTGGTGGACAATAAGTGTTTTATTAATTAGTAGAGATATAAGCTTAAATTTTAAGCAATTTATCATATCAAATTTTGAAAATAATTAATTTGTCATCTCACCCCAACTCCGTTAAGTTTTTTATCCAACATAAGGCATGTTCAATGCACATGACTTATTTTCAAGGTTCTTTGGAACATTTCAACTGCCTTTTATTTTTAATGAACATGATTGGCCACGTTGAATTCTCAAAACTTGTAATTAGTTAAACTTCATGTTAGTGAGCCTAATGTACTATTTTAATAGTTCACCATAAGTTAATGAAAACTAATTTATCACCCATGTGACATCCCGTCCCGAAAATATAGAAAACGTGCGTGTGAAATGACATTTTTACCCCTAGATCGTTTCTTTTACGTAATTTGTTGTTTTGTGTGGTGTTGGCAAGTGTTGGGCCACACACACACACACTGTCACTCTCCTTCACCCTCTGTCTTTTCCCCTGTCTCTCTCTCTCTCTCTCCCGTGCTCCCATTTCTTCTTCTTCTTCTTTCGAACGTACGGACCACACCCAAAACCCCTCAAACCTTGGCAGATCGAGGGAACTAAGGCCATATTCGAGCTCGTGAGGTCGAGGGGAGCACGATTGTACCATTTTCAGGTAGGAACTTCAACGTTTTCACGTCGTTTTCACAAGGTCCGATTTGAGTACTATTCATGTGAACGTAAATTCTTACGTTTTTGGGTGTTTGAAGCTCGTAGGTGGTTTGGTGAGGTCCCAAGGAGCCTCGAAGTGCTTCGTTTGAACAGTTTTGACGTCGGGATCACCGTGGTCAGAGTTGGCCGGTTTTGGTTAGTTTGCATAGGTAATTTCTGGTGGTTTTTGACCCTTAAAACTTGTATATCGTTATTCTCCTAGTTCTAGGCGTCATTTTGGTTCAAGAATCGTGAAAAATGGTTGAGAAACGAGTGAGAAAACGAAGTTAGAAGTTTTTCCAGTTTTCCGGCGCCGGCGACGTCGCCGGAGTCTCGCCAGAGAAGGTGACGGAATATTCCTGACGCCGTTAACTGAATCTGTCAAAACTGACAGAATATTCCTAACGGCGTCAGTTGACGCCGTCCGTGTGCACCGCACGTGCCTGCGCGTGGCCGGCGCGTGGGGGCGCGTGCGGCGGTGGAAAATTTTTCTAAAAATATGGGTGTGTTCCTGAGGTTGTGTAGAACACGTTGGTATATTCAATTGTCCATTTTGAGCAATGTATGAGAAGTTATTACAAAAGGATGGTTATGTGCTTTATAATTAATGTTTTTATAGTATTTTCGCATTTAGGTGATACGTATCCCGAGGACGAGCGTGCTCATTTGAGGCAGGGATGCTACGACCCTTCCACATACCAGTGAGTGGGCTTTTAATTTCCGTATATACCTATATACATATAATTCCCAGAATTAATATAAATGCTTACTAGTGACATGCCATTCCTTTTGTGTTATTGATTGATATGCATGGTTAGTGGCATATATGTTGGTTTACATATTCATTCACATGTCATATATATATATATATATATATATATATATATATATTGGTGCGGTGGAGGCACAGGTAAGTGCCAGGTAAGCGTTATTTAACATTTGCATTAAAAAGTGATTAGAGGTGCTTAGAGAGCTCATAACCTGCACCCCCGGTGTTAGTGCTCCCGCCCAGAGTATGGCACAGTCCTTCACGTGTCGTTCACCTCCCGCACCACACGCTCAGCTTGGATCCAAGTTAGGTGCACAGTCTTGTCATACAAACCACTATAGGTGGTTCCGACACGTAGGTGACCCGCGATTATTCGCACAGCCTTCATGTGATCGTAGCACTAGAGCGTTTATATGTATTACACCCAGGCCTGTCGTACAGACCACTATAGGTGGTTCCGACTCGTGGGCAGGTTTAGTTATTGAGATTGAGATTTGAGCTCTAGATTTAGCCGCACAGGTCACTTTAGGTGACTCCGGCTGCCAGTGATATGTTATTGATACGGTTTATACCTGAGCACTTGCATTTCACCATGAGATTTGGTATGGCATATCCTTGAGCATGATTTGGCATATCTATATACGTACGTATGTTTATTTTCTGGGAAGTATACAGGTTTTACGGCGAGGGGTTAGAATGTATTTTACTAAATGGTTTTCAAAGAGCTTTTTTTTGCCCACTCACGCTTTTGTTTTGCGCCCCTCCAGGTTCTAGTTGCTTTGCAAGTTCGGTGGTTTTCCCAGAGGGCGTCCCGGCATTTCTGACAGACACTCACCGATGTAGGGTCACCTTTGGGTGCACTATTATCGAGTCATTTTATTTTGGACTGCTGTAGACTTATTGCTCTGAACTTAGTGTCTTACTTACGCTAGCACACTTACTTTGACCTTGTATGCTAGTTTTTAATTACTCGTACTTTTATATTACTATTCTATTCGCTTCCGCACTGTGCACATGGCTACGTCACTTCCACGTGACGGCCAACATGCCCTGATCTCGGTCGGGGTGTGTCAGTTTGGTATCAGAGCCAGGTTATGAGCTCTCTAAGCACCTCTAATCACTTTTTAATGCAAATGTTAAATAACGCTTATCTGGCACTTGCCTGTGCCTCCACCGCACCAATATATATATATATATATATATATGACATGTGAATGAATATGTAAACCAACATATATGCCACTAACCATGCATATCAATCAATAACACAAAAGGAATGGCATGTCACTAGTAAGCATTTATATTAATTCTGGGAATTATATGTATATAGGTATATACGGAAATCAAAAGCCCATTCACTGGTATGTGGAAGGGTCGTAGCCCCCCTGTCTCGAATGAGCACACTCGTCCTCGGGATACGTATCACCTAAATGCGAAAATACTATAAAAACATTAATTATAAAGCACATAACCATCCTTTCGTAATAACTTCTCATACATTGCTCAAAATGGACAATTGAATATACCAACGTGCTCTACACAACCTCAGGAACACACCCATATTTTTAGAAAAATTTTCCACCGCCGCACACGCCCCCACGCGCCAGCCAAGGCACGGCCACACGCGCCAGCCAAGGCACGGCCACACGCGCCGGCCACGCGCAGGCACGTGCGGTGCACACGGATGGCGTCAACTAACGCCGTTAGGAATATTCCATCAGTTTTGACAGATTCCGTTAACGGCGTCAGGAATATTCCGTCACCTTCTCCGGCGAGACTCCGGCGACGTCGCCGACGCCGGAAAACTGGAAAAACTTCTAACTTCGTTTTCTCACTCGTTTCTCAACCATTTTTCATGATTCTTGAACCAAAATGACGCCTAGAACTAGGAGAATAACGATATACAAGTTTTAACGATAAAAAACCACCAGAAATTACCTGTGCAAACTAACCAAAACTGGCCAACTCCGACCACGGTGATCCCGACGTCAAAACTGTTCAAACGAAGCACTCCGAGGCTCCTTGGGACCTCACCAAACCACCTACGAGCTTCAAACACCCAAAAACGTAAGAATTTACGTTCACATGAATAGTACTCAAATCGGACCTTGTGAAAACGACGTGAAAACGTTGAAGTTCCTACCTGAAAATGGTACGATCGTGCTCCCTTCGACCTCACGAGCTCGAATATGGCCTTAGTTCCCTCGATCTGCCAAGGTTTGAGGGGTTTTGGGTGTGGTCCGTACGTTCGAAAGAAGAAGAAGAAGAAATGGGAGCACGGGAGAGAGAGAGAGAGAGAGGGGAAAAGACAGAGGGTGAAGGAGAGTGACAGTGTGTGTGTGTGTGTGGCCCAACCCTTGGCAACACCACACAAAACAACAAATAACGTAAAAGAAACGATCTAGGGGTAAAAATGTCATTTCACACGCACGTTTTCTATATTTTCGGGACGGGATGTCATAACCCACCCTAGCATGCATATATCTTTGTATAAATAAATAAGCTTGTGAAAAATGAGGTTAAAAGTCGAACTTTTGGATGAAAAACTTAATATAATTAGTGTGAGATGACAAATTAATGATTTCAGAAAATTTGTATGAGAAATTGCTTAAAATTTTACTATAAATGAAAAATTAAAAATATGTATAAATTTAGATGACATTTCAAAATTTTCCGCTATTATTTTATTTTCTAAGAGCATCTTAAAAAGATATGTCAAAAAGTTCACATCAGCAATAACGGTGAAAAAAAAAAAAAACATCACTAGTGTTTTCTAGCCGAACTACCAATTCCTATATGGCATGACATAGAATGGTAGCAGAGGAAATTGCTGTCAAATTTCACAGCTACTTCAAATCTATTTTTAGAAATTACTAAATGCTTTTCATAATTTTTATTCTTATCTTTTGTTTTAAAAAAAATACTAATTACAACTATAGAAAGTAAATAATTTAATAAATAATAGTTTACATTTGACATATCAGTTGGATAACAAAATTAAAAAAAAAAAATCAGTGTGCTACATATTTATAAACCTTTAAATTTAAATTTTATGTTTAAAATTTGACATCTCCCTTGGAGATGCTCTAAGCGACTATACATAGGGAAATCTAGGTTGGCTTATTATTTTTTGATATTTTTCGGAATCATTTTTATTATTTTTTATTTTTCATACAAGTGTTATATATTGGGAAATCTAGGCTGGCTTGTGATTATGATTTCAATTACAATACATCAATAATATGGTTAAAACAACATGTCAAATCCACCCAGCACAATCTAATGGACCATAACTAGGGTCGGCGGCAGTCCTCTTCTTCTCATTTTCCATTTTTCTTTTCATTTCTTTCTCCCTGAGCTTCCGTTTCCCCCTCTCCAGGGGCCTGATCGCCACTTTCTTCCCATTTCTTGTGCCCCTAATTTCTCTGTCTGTAGCCCATTTTTCCCTGGTTTCCTTCCTTCCTTCCACTTCATTTCCACTTTTCCCCCTTTGTTCTCCCTTCTCTTCTCCCTTCCACTTTCATTCTTCCTTCCTTCCATTTTTTTTCCTTTTTTTCCTTCTGCCGTTTCTTCCTTTTTCCCTTTCTTTGCATCTTCTTTCCATCTTTTTCTCTTTTTTTCCTCCACTTTCTTGGCAGTTCACTCCATCTTCAACCCAATCAGCCTCATTCTTTTTTGACTTCACATCCTGGTTTGCCTTCTACATCTTTGTACCGTGATTTTTCGCATTTTACCTGAAAGGTGTGTAGTTTTCGCTCGGGTGTTCACACCACCTCCTTCCTTGGGATTGCCTTTGATGGCACTATTGCTAGTGGGTTGCTCTTTCCCACTGGCTTCCTTCGTTTTGGGTTTCACTTTGTTGGCCCAGTTGCTAACGGGTTGCTTCTTCTCGCAAGCTTCTTCTGATGTGTGGTCGCTACCGGTGTGGTGCTCAACAGTGTTTGGGGATTTGCTTTGGGGTTCTGTTTTCCCTTAATTCTCTTCGAGTTTGGGGGATCTGTTTAGAATGTTTTCAAGTGTGTGCAGGAAACGTTCGTTTTTGTTGGTTGGTAAGCGACTTTCCAGCTACGGGGGGTTGAAGCTGCTAAAATTTGTTTCAGTGTTTTCTTTGTTTCAGGCTCACACTTTTGTTTTGGGCTCTTTAGTTGCTTTTGAGGTCCTTATTTTTGTTTGTGTATGTATATGGGCCTTTTCTTGTGTAATTATTGTGTAGGAATAAAGCAACTTTTCACCAAAAAAAGAAGAAGAAAGAACTAAAAACAGATTAGGGTTAGATACGCCTTAGTGCTTATGCACAATGGCACAATGGTTAGGAGTGGACATGCGTGGGTTGGGCCGCGTTAAACCTCAACCCATTATCGAACAACATTAATCACCAACTTACCCAAACTACCCACATTCAGTTTGGGTTGGGTGTTTTTGCAGGTTGAAGATGGACTAATGCTTCCAAGATTTGTGACCTTGCTTGCGAATGCTTTCAAGTAATGAGGATTATCAGCATCTCATCAAGAAAAGAATAGAGTTTGAGCGAGTCTGAGTTTCTATGGGTTAACAGTTTAAATCCAACTACTAATCCCTTTGTTCATGGGTGGGCGGGTTATAACACAAATCCAAAAACGTTGATCATTAAACCCGACTCAACGTATCCCACCATAGGTGTATAGGGTAGATTGGTCAGGTTGTTTAAAGAATACCCACACATAAAATTGCCGTTAAACATTGAATGATACTTGGAAACTTAACAGATGTGTAAAAGTTCCTACTCAAATTGTTCGTTGCCGATTCATTGAACTTCGTGTTTATAATGAGAACCGTGCAAAAATCAATTAAAACTAAAGACGTTTAGTCATCAAACTATATAAAAATAGATGAGCGGAGTTGGTAAAGGAATTAGAAACCGTTCATGTATTTGGTACAACCGATTGACTAAACGAACTTAATTTTCCGAATAATAAGAATTATTCCTAAGATTCGAACCTAATACTTAGCTACTCAGTGGATGTGTAAGAGTTCCTACTCAAATTGTTCTTTACCGATTCATTGAACTTCGTGTTTATGATCAAAACCGTTCATATTATAAATCATTCTATAAATATCGCATCTGCAAAAAATCAATTAAAACTAAAGTCGTTTAGTCTTCGAACTATATAGAAACATATGAACGGAATTGGTAAAAGCATTATGAACCGTTCATGTATTTGCTATAATATATTGGCTAAAAGATTTTAATTTTCCAAACAAAACAGCTATAAGAATTATTCCTAAGATTCGAACCTATTACTTGGCTACTCAATGAATGTGTAAGAGTTCATACTCAAATTGTTCGTTGACGATTCATTCAACTTCGTGTTTATGATTAAAAAAAACATTCATGTTATAAATCAGATGAACAAAATTGGTAAATATCGCCTCTGCAAAAAAAAAAATTAAAACTAAAGTTTTTTAATCATCGAAATGTATAAAAACAGATGAACAAAATTGGTAAAAGCATCCGTTTTGTGAATATTCAGTCCAATGTTGATTTCGGGTTTTGGCCCGGGACCCTGTTAGGCTAATTTTGATGCCTTGAATCTATTTTTTTGCATCATTTTTGTGCAATTTTGATGTGTTAATAGCTTCGTAGTGGTTTACCACTTAAATTTGCAATTGGCAGTGATCCGACCGTCGGATCTTCACAAAATTTTAATATGTTGTTCTAGGAGAAAAATGAGCCCTTATGAAGTTACGGATCGGAAATCTGATGTACGGATCTCCCAAATTGGATTACTAGGGTTGTTGACCATTCCTTTGTCCAAGTTGACCAAGAATTGACTTTTGGTCAACAAGTTTCAAATCGTTCTTAAATAAATAAAATTAGCATTCCTAGAGACTTGGTAGAGCCTAGTGGGCCTATCTCAGTTAGCGAGCTATTCCAGTTAATGTGCACCTTGGATTACATGAAGTGGTACCTTATCGTGATGTACGTGTTTATTAAACTTCTAGATGTTACAAATGATATGTAT